AATTAAAAATACAAATTTCACTGATGCTTTCACCTCGAGAATTTTTTGAGCCACAAAGTCAAATGCGGCAAACACAAACGAAAACAAATGTTCGTTTCGTTATTTGATTTTACACTAATTTGCCACTGTTTTGTTTCTGCTTTGAGTTTAATACGAATCTCAAAAGACGTTAAGCTTCGTCCTGTGTTATGCACCGACTGACCGCTGCGGAGTGCAGCAGGTGTTTTAATAAATTGAATTGAAATTCGAGGCCAATGTCGACAGCAGCGCTTGCGTTGTTTCGATTGTAGTGGGCGGTCTTATCACTTTTTGTTGTTGTTATTTTCATTCTGCTGTACCAGGTAAAAAATTTACACACGCTCATGCTGTTTTCGTTGAATGTGGCCAACGATTAATTTCCGATGCAACAATCGCTGTACAAACAATCCGCTGTCGAAACTCAATTTGGTCTGTATGGGCCGGAAATGCGCAGTAAACTGAAATCAACGCACGCTGTGTGGCGGCGTTGGAGTCTTTAATTGAGACTGCAACAGTCGGCACCCAACAAGGTAGATAGTACAGCCGGATGTTGTCTGCCATGTAAGTAGATATGTAACTAGCAACATGTTGGTAAAGGAATATGTGGCAAGCAACATGTTGCTATGTTGAATTATAATTACAAGTACATACATATAGGGGTTTTCAGTAGGGGCGGCAAAGGTGAAATGGAAAAAAAAACACGCAGTGCTTGAGATATTAATTCTTTTTTGTTTAAAGATGGCCATGTACGTGCGACCGGCGGCTGCTGTACCTGAGGGGTTAGACGTGCATTCTACCACTTCGTAGGACCTAGGGTAGGGTTCGATTCCTTGTACCAGAACATGTAAATTAAAAAAGTTTTTTCTAACAGCGATCGCTCCTCGGCTGGCAATGGTAAAGCTTCGCGTGTATTTCTTGAAAAAGCTTTTCATAAAAATCATATGCCTTTCTGAGGCGGCGTAAAATTGTAGGTCCTTCCATTTGAGTTTTAACATCAAGACGTATATCATAAATTTGAAGAGAAGCTCGGCTAAACACTTAACAAAAGTGTAAAGAGCCTTATAGCCCAGTTATTCATACTTAGCTTTGTCACATAAGAATCTGTTAAATGGGCTTTGCGTGTAAGCGGTTACCCAACGCATACCACTTAAGTTGAGGTGGGCTGAGCTGAACTTAGTTGAGTTGAGTTAATTGAAGTGAATTGAGCTAAAATATCTTGAACAACATAACAAAATATAGCATTATGTTACATAACTTAACACAACACAATATAACATAAGATAACATAACAATATAACATAACATAATATAATATAACATAACATAATATAACATAACCTAAGATAATATAACATAGCTTAACATAACATAACATAACATAGAATGATATAACATAACTTAACATAACATAACATAACTTAATAAAACATATCATAACAACTAAACATAACATAACTTAACATAACAAAAATAAAACACGCCAAAACAAATAAATATGGTGAAAAAATTTATAAATTTCAAACAGAATAAATGTAATCAGTATAAAAAAAATAACAATTTATGTTTTCATAAAGTAAAAACCCGCAACAACTCAATTTGAGGTGCTGATTCAAAAGATGGACCAACATCCGGATCTGGCAAGAGGAATACCAGTGCTTGGTTCTGACAGAGCCAGGGGTCAGAAGCGATGGGACGGGATAATGGAAGAAGGTAAGCTTATACGTGGTAGCAAAAATCCTAGTAACATAACCAAAAATACGATTTGTTTATTTTCCTTCAGACATGGGCTGACCTCAAAAGGCGCACAAAAAGAAGATTTCGAACTATATTCGTAATATAAATATGACAGGCGGGGCCCCTTTCGGCATTCACGGTTGACGGAGATCGAAAAAACCCTCGACTGCATCACTTCTATATCGAAGACCGCAGCACCAAGTGGCGCAGTGCTTGGAGTTTCAAGGCTTTCGGCATCACAAGCAGCAGCGTCCGCCTCTGATAATTTGTCAGCGACCCTATTCGGTATAATCCCAACGTTCGTTGACGCACTACTCGCCACTCCAGAGCCCACTAATAAAAATAATAAAAATAGTAAATAACATTTGACGGTGATGCGCATGTTCTATAAAGTGTACCAAATAAATTAAAAATAATAAAATTGTAAAGGAAATATATAAAAATACCTTAATATTTCATTTAGCAACGCTGTTCCAGACGAATACAACGTAATCGACGTAAAGTCTACACGAAGGCGATCGTTCGACTTACAAAATTGTAAGCGGAGACGAAGTCGCCTGCAGACGAATCATTCGTGTGACCTATCGTTTGAGATACATGATGAGGCTGATAAGGATTATGTATGATTAGCAAAAAATAATATTCTGAACGAAATTTTTTGAAAATTTCATCACTGAACTTGAAAAGGAGGACAAGGAAGACATCACTGCTCAAAAGGAGGCCAGAGAAGGACAATATTTTTGAGGAGGACAATCCTCCTCAAAGGAAGGCGGTTGGTCAACTTACCAATGGTGGACTTCAGTGGGTTTATCGACAAGCCTTTTTCAGGGCACCAGTCTTCAGTACTTATACATACATATCGTCGTTTAAAGTACAAAACCGCGTATGAACAAAATGCAAAACCGCGTATGTGAGGTTGCATAAAACATTTTCTAGAGAGTAAAAATACTCATATTTAAAAATGGTTACCTTTTTTATAAAGCAATCTCATTTCTTTCTAGAGCTTGTGTGAGCAAATCCAATATTTGGCAGCAAATGTCAGTTACGTAGTTTTGCAGAATGGCGATACGCGGTTTTGTACTTTACACGACGATATGCAAATATATAGTTTGTCACAACTTTGTTGTTCAATTCAATTGAAATTAAGATGTAGGCACATAAAGTATGTAGATTGGCAATTATAAGGGTAGACGTTAGTGCCTAATAATCAGGTATATTTACTTGCTTGCGGTCGCCATTATATATATACGCCCGGGTAAAATATGTATTCGTGTAAAAACGGTTGCTAAAATTTCTGGAGATACATATTTTCTATTTTTCGCAAATAACAATTATTTTCGCGAAACCTACAAAAAGCCAATATAGCCTACCAACCTACCAAATGGAAAAAAAATCTACCAGGTTAGGTAGGAAAAGTCCATGTGTGGCAACACTGGTTCTGGTGTTTTTTTAAATCAAACAATTATCAGCACTGGCTCAGCTGTGGCAAAAGTACACACACATATGTATACGCATGTTCCCAGTAGGCCGCCAGGTAGTGCAAATTATGGACACAGCCTGCTCTGACGATACGTCACAGCGCATGAGTAATGTATGTACATATCGTACCTTTGTTGCAAGAGTGTCATAATCAAAAAAAAAATCTAATCTCTACTTCTATGTCGTGCACAAATTTCGTAGTTGTGTCGACTAAAAAGCTCATGGGAAGAAAATGTGTCCCAATTTTTATTTTGAGATCGTATGTAAATATAAACTTTAAAACTTTTTCTAGAGTTTTTGATTTTTTTGGATTATGACACCCTTTCAGCAAATAAACACCCTTTCAGCAAATAAGCAATAATAAACTACATATGCTTCTAGACATACAAAGATACTTTTGTGGAGTTAGNGCAACAATAAACTACATATGCTTCTAGACATACAAAGATACTTTTGTGGAGTTAGTAATGAAGTTAATAAACTCCTTTTTCAGTTCTATATGAAACACAATGTGTGCAATAATATCATTAGATATAAGTACATACATACATATAGTATTTGACATGTTTGAATAAAATATATATTTAGGCAAGGTTATGCATTTACGGTGACAGGTCAAACAAAATCAGCGGAAATAAGGGCAATTGACACTATTTCGTATACTGGTGCGAAATAAAGTCAGTTGACATTATTACCTTTTCAAAAGTGAAATAAAGTCCGTTGACGTTATTGCTCTTTCAAAATATTAAAATTGCGTAGCTTCGCGGCGGACTGCGTCTGCGCCACACCGCGTCGCGCCAAGCTCCCGAATGAATTTTATACATTTGAGTTACTCTTGAAACTCTAAGGTTCATTTTAGCCCAAAAATTAACGATTTCTAAGAGATAATTTTTTTGTAATAATCATTTATTTACAACCGTTTATAACAAGTGTAAATTATTTATGCAAAGGAGAATGTTATTTTTTCATTAATTGCTACCTGGAAAATGTAGTCTATTATTACCTCTAACGTGAACTAAGTTATGCAAATATGAAAAATACTTTATGTAAAGATGTCATACTCTCTGCTCTAATTTTACTATAGCCGTGATAGCAGCATATTGGTAGGACAGCTGTATAACTTGGGTGTTATGGAATGAAATGTAATAATAATTTTTTGGCACTGCTGGTGCTTTTATTTAGGTCAAAATATCTCCAATAAATTATATAATAGATGAAATATAATTTAATTTCCTACGAATAATAACTCTAATATGATTTCACAGCATTTTTTTAATACTTCAAAGTATGTATTAACATAAATGTATCTTCCAATATAATTATCATACGTATTTTTTCGATAAAGTTTCGGGTTTTACTTTAAGGCATTCTTGTTTATTGTCATTGCGAACTGGAAACTGAGGTCATTTAAACTCAAAAGGCATATCAAAAGGAATTAAAGGAGTCTTGTGACTTGTGGTTCCGAAGTTATGGCTGATAAAAAATTCCACGCCTATATTATGTGTCACGTCCTTATTTCCAAACTCACATATATAAACCTTACTATAAGTACCTAACATTGATATGTCTGCATGCCAAATTTCAATTTTATGTAACTTATGGTTCCGAAGTTATAGCTGATTAAAAATTTGCAGGCCTATGGGAGGTGCCACGCCCCCTCGCAAAATTTACACCACATTTGTAAACAAAACCAATAGGAAAGGCATGAATTTTCCCAGCAGTGCTTAAGTCATATATCTTAAACTCATATATAATTTTTTGTTACTCACCGTTAGTGCGATACCCACTGTCGCGGAGAAGGAACCCAAACGAAATTCACCCGTATTGTACTTTACTAGGAAAGAAGTTTTACCAACACCGGAGTCGCCAAGTAGTATTGTCTGCAAATACAACAAAGTTTAAATATTACCCATGCTACATGAAATTCTAGAAAGTAGGGATTAGTGCATTGAAATTACAATTTAGAGTACTAGCTAGTGATAGTCCACAATTTTTCATTACTACTATTGAGGTTTAGTGGGGAATTGCAAAACATCAGCCTCACTATACAAAAGTGATAAGGAACTAAAAAATATTCCACTAAAATTAACCAGCGAATAGTGAAACATTTTTTCTTCACTAAAATTGATAATGCAAAACAAAAAACCCCATTAATGTGAGTGGAACACAGGAACTTTTCATTAAATTGAAAGATTGAGTGAAAAGTTTATCGCTTAGTAATATTTTTTGCTGCAGTATTTATTTTGCGTTACCAATACTCATTTCAAATATGAGCCAATTTAGAAGGTTTTTACTACGTCCGGATATTTATGCCACGGATGAGACCCTCTTCTTTTGGTCCACGAGAAACGTATAAAGAAGACTAAAGCTGACATCACCGCCATCCAAGAAATGTAAAGGAGCGCGAATTCGGTGTTGCATTTATGGTCGGAGCGAGACTCCGTCGCCGAGTGTTTGCGCTCACCCCGGTGGACGAATGTCTAGGTACATCCCGCATCAAAGCAAGATTCTTCAGCATCTCGCTAATCTGCGCCCATGCCTCAACGGAAGAGAAGGACGAGGCGTTAAAGGATCTCTTCTATGAGCGTTTTGAGCGCACATACGAGCGCGGCGAGGAAGGGATCTTTGGAACCACAGTCGGAAAGTTCAGCGATGAACTATCCGACAACGGACTGAGGCTGATCGACCTCGCCAGGGCCAGAGACATAGTGGTACGCAGTACTAGGTTCAAGCATAAAAATATCCATTAAGCTACGTGGCTGTCTCCAGATCGAAAAACGAGCAACCAAGTTGATGGGGAGTGCCAACAAGTTGCAGAGAAAAAAATTCCGCCTGTAGGGCCAGGCTGCGATCGGGTGCAACGCGAGCCACGTCGGACCGTTATAGCGAACTAAAGAAAGAAGCGGTATTTGTCGCAATAAGAAGAGACAAGTACGGCGGCGGAAAGCTAAGAGGGTTCATGCATCAGCTCTTATGCTAAATATGGCCAGATGAATGCATGTTATTCACAAGAAAAGTGGCCCCGCAATACGCGCAAACTACAGCGGGATCAGCATTTTAACCACAGGTTATAAGTTCTTATCGAGTGTATTGTGCGAACCTAAACCTAAACCTAAGCTAGTTAAGGAATGCAAAATGGAACCCGCTTAGAGTCTCAGTCAAATATCTTCTCTCTGATCTAGGCTGCCGGACATAGNCGTTATAGCGAACTAAAGAAAGAAGCGGTATTTGTCGCAATAAGAAGAGACAAGTACGGCGGCGGAAAGCTAAGAGGGTTCATGCATCAGCTCTTAAAATATTAGAGTCTCAGTCAAATATCTTCTCTCTGATCTAGGCTGCCGGACATAGAAACATTGAAGGCAAATGAACTGGGAAGGGGAGCCTTTTGGTATGAATCCGAAGCGGTGACATTGGATTGTTCTTTTTGGAGTAACCCAAAAAGAAATTTTTCTGCATTGGCTTGGACTGGAGAGAAACAGGGGGTCAGATATACAGACATACAAAATTTCAAGAGTACTCTGACTGACCAAAACAGGTCGAAGACCTTGGATCTGCTTAATACATCAAGAAAAGCAGTGTTCAGAAAAGTGGCAACCATCACGGGGCACTGGCCATGAGGCAAATCTTCGACAAGAACAGGACTATTCTATAGTTAATATAAATTTTCGCAGCTGTCAGCTAGAAGATATGGAAGAAAGTTGTAATTCGAATAATAGATATAAAATACTAAGAAGATACCTAGTAATACAACTAAATGCATAGATAGACGGCAACGTTGATCCAGATTAACTCGTTAATTCGGAATTATGTCGGGAATTAACTGCAGTTTATTAAGTCCTAGAGTTAATTCCCAAACTTAACTCGAATCAAGGAAATATTCGATTATAATACTGACCAAAACTCAGAGAGCGTAAAATATAGCACAGATGATAAATGAGTCTTTTAATTTTGTACCAAATGACCAAAAATAATGTACTACATAAACCGAAAATGTACCAACATTTAAATTAGCATACTCACAGTTAAATGTTTTTAAATTAGAATAACTCTCTATATAAAAGTTGTCCAAAATATTTACTTTTATAGAAATTACAAGATCCCAAAATGACATTCAGATCTGAAAATTTATTCTGGAAAAATTTTTAGCTGCGAAAACTTGCAAGTGGGAAAATCAAGAGAAAATATAGCCTTTTGAATTATTTATTGTAAATTTTATAAATATTGCTAGTATACAATGAAAGTAAAGTAAAGATATTAAGCACAAGGTTTGTTGAGTTGGTTTTTAGTTAATTTACTATTAATCTCCAGATTTTTATTTATTTTAAGTAGTGTGTGTCAACTATGATTGCAGTATTCAATTTTCCAAAATAAATAAAAATGCTGAAATGTTTTGGCAGAAATTGTCAGTTGATAATGGAAAAGAAAATGGGTTGGTTTTAAAGGCACATAGCTATATCTACTTTTTTTTTTAAACAAGGATGGGTATTTGGAGGAGATCCTTTTATTTTTGAATGCATTATAATGTGGTATCAATTTTGAGAAAAATACATACGTATTCATTCATATGTTAAAAATGCTTTGCGGGGAAAATGCTCCAACCGGATAGTAACGTATCAAATATATCACCTATTAAAACTGGGAAAATGATCAGCTGTTTCAAAGATTGCAAATTTTCTGTATATTTTGTTTCTTTGATAGCAAATGCTCAGAATTTTTTCTGATAGATACTTTTGTCTGGAAAATGCATTCAATAACCCGAAAAATTTGCAAGAGTGCGAATTTTAGAGCTTAACACCCCGATAGAGCTGCAAATTGCAGTCATGCGTCAATTTCCAATGTAAACAAAGTGTGTGTGATTTGATAAAAACATGCTCAAAACAAAACTAGTGAAATGAAAATATGGATGCATAATTTTAATCTAAGATAGATTTTTTGATTTTTGTTAAATATTCGCAACCAAAAGGAAAATTAGGCGGCAAACTTTAAACATCAGAAAGCCGAAATGGCGTAAGTTGCACGTTTTGCTAGTTTTGTGTTCAATAACTTCTTATGATAATTTTCTCTACATCTCAATTTCACTCTCTACGAGGTAGAACAATATGACTATATTTTTATCCACAAAAATGCTAATTTCAAGTATACAAAGTGTAGTGCAGTGCCGCATTTTGAGAAAATTGTATCAAAAATGTCAATGTAGTACTAATGTAATTTTGGCTTTCAAAATGTACCAAAAAAGTGCAATTCTACTACAATTTCATCACTGACATGAGAGTCGAAAACGTCGACAAGGCTGTGAGCAACCAGCCCTAAATTGTATTCAAATCTGCATTACCGATTAAAAGGTATGTATATCAGGGTTGAAAAATGGAAATTTGAGATTGTACCTAATATCATAAAATAAATGTACCTAAATGAGACAGATTGTACCTAAAAAAGTTACATCATTCATTTGAAGTTTTTTTTTATAAATGTTATTTAAAATATGTATACAAAAGATGGATGTTGTTTTTTTAACTGAGCCTATATCTATAGACTACATATAATCTAATGGGAATCGGAGAAGCGTTGTTTTTGTCTAATTTTGGCTACTGAAAAACGTTGGCGAAAAAGACAAAAAAACACACTTTGCGAAGTATACTTCTTTATCCAGCTTTTTATAAAACAGCAGGAAAAGTCTGCTCATTTATCCGATTCCTTTCGATAGGTGCAGCAAGTCTAGAGAAAATAATCAAATTGCAGGAAGTAACTTCGAAAGCATTTTAAATATATTTCCAGAAATCAAAAAGCGAATATGGGTCAAATAGCTATAGTTCTCATATAAAGAAAATATGAAATTTGAAGACATCCTAGACACTGAACTGTATGTGTGAATAAAGGCTGGTTTTCATTATGTTATATTTTGACAACAAAATTTGTTGCCATATTTTGACACAGCTTTCTTTCCTTTATCCCTACCTTTATCGATGATATTATGGGCTAAAAACTTACAAATAGCCGCTTTAGCAGCGGATGTACACGCCTGAAGGCCTATTCTGATCTAAATCAATCAAAAGACCATCTTTTAGTCCCATTTGACAATTTGTTTTCACTCATTTGACCGCAAATGCCATTGAATTTGACTTAGTGAAAATAACCGTTAAAATTAATAGAAAAAAAATACGAATTTGAGGATAGCTAAGCAAAGTGTTAATTTTTCGTAGTGGCTGCTCTAAATGCAACGTAAAATGTTTAAGATAATACATAATATGACTTTTTTAATTTCTTCCGTTGACCACTTTTCTTTAGAATTGTTTATTCTTCAAAATGAAAGCAAAGTAAATATACTAGCACGGTAAAGGAAAAAGAAAAAAAAACTAAAAATGCATCTGATAAAAAGATGATTGTACCTAAAATCTAGTGACTGTACCCTAGTGACTGTACCTAATGTACCTTTAAGTCATCAAACGTCGGAGAAAGGTACAATTGTGCCTACTTTTTCATCCCTGTTAACATCGATATTTTTGGACGAAACATCGATGCATCGTCTGCATCCCTATACATTCACACACANTATGTCCATGCTAGATTTGCATATTCTCTGTATTCTACGCTCTCTGAGTTTTGGTCAGTGTTGTCATCGAAATTCCCTTTGGGAATTGACTCTAGGACTTAATCCGGATCAACTGCTGTTATTTCCCGAGATAATTCCGAATTAACGAGTTCATCCGGATCAACGCTGCCCTCTGTCTATGCTTTAAGAACTTATTTGAATTAATACGGTGACTGCATGACCGACGACAAAGTGGATGTCAATGCTAGTTTTGCATTTGCTTTGTGTTCTACGCAGTGTTGCCAGGTCTTCGGCATAAGAAAACGTCCCTCTTGGTCTGAGAAAACGTCATTTTCTACCCGCAAACGTCTTTTTCAATTGTATGCTCAAAGAATTGTTCTTATTAAACTTTCATTGTATACAAAGGTACATATGTATGTAAGGTATATTAAAATGTCATTTGCTCACATTTAAAATTCATTCTAAACTGGTTTGAGATCGTTAATATAAAAATCATTTTATACACACACTTGTGATCAGCTGATCAAGTCGTCGATTTCGGCTGTTTATTTAATGTTTATTCCATAAAAGCCTAGCTCATTATATAACAAACAAAATATAAATCCACATTTCAAACTTTGTGCAAAAATTATAAAAAATTGGCAAAATATCAGCTAGATTTTCAACTTTTTATTCAGATTTTTTAGAATTTTTTTGAGTATGCAGGTTGATATCCCATTAAATTCCAGGGCAATAATGTGCAATTTTTAAGGTGCTAAAGAATCGCGTTGATTTTTAATATATATTTTTTTTCTTCTTGTAAACATTTGGTTAAGTGGTCTGTTGTCGAAAATGCTAAATTATGTTCTGTTAAGAAGGAACATAGCAATATTTCAGCCTTTTTACGTTCCTTACATTTTCAATAAGAGGCCCCATGCGACTAATTGTGTCATTTTATTTATGCGCTTAAATAAGGGTTAAGTCATCTGTGTCGAAAGAATAAATATTTTTTGAAGCAGCTGCTGCAAAAAACCAAGCTTGTAAAGATTTATTAAGAAAATAATTGAAAATCAGTTCTACTTACAAGATTTAGTAACAGAGAAAAATTACTGGGAAGTCAAAAAACGTCATTTTTTACACAAATAACGTTCAAACGTCAACAGGATACAAAAAACGTCCAAATGACGTTAAAAACGTCAACCTGCCAACGCTGGTTCTACGCTCCCTGAGCAAACCTATAGCAAACGAAGCAGCCAACTACTTCACCCGCGGTAGCCGAGTGGTTACGGCTGCGTACTAAAAGCCTGCAGGTCCCAGGTTCGATCCCCGGTTGGAGCGATTGCCAAAAAATTTTGGTTTTATTGTTACTTAATTTTTTTTTTGATTTATATATTTAACTTTATTTTCGTTTGCTTTACTTTATTTCACATTTTTTATTTTATTATTAGTTAATTAAAATTTTTAGAGTTTAAATTTACTAAAAAAGTCAAAAACGACTAACTAAAAACAACGTAAAAAAAATTTAGAAGTTACAATTGAATAAATAAAAATAAATAAATGAATATTCTACTGGCTGTGGTATTCGAACTTACGACCACGCGGCTCGTAAATCCGCATTACTGCCGTATATCAAGGCACAATTTTGACAAGATCAATTGGGGCGTTAATCCGGAACAACCTTGCCTATGCTTTAAGAGACCTATCAGAAGCTACCATAAGTGAAGTGGGCAAAAATATATCAGATGATCAAAATGGTTTGATCAAGAAACACAGCATATATATACCAAAACATTTCCCACGAGAGGTACCTCAGAATGGCACAAAAACAAGGTATTTGTATTCTAGCCTGCTTCTATGCAGCAGAAGAGTACAAAAAAAGCACCAAAGAAGTTTCACTTCAAAAATCGACTTCGGAGCCAGTACAAGCAACAAAAAGTGAGATCATGATACAACAATGTAGATCAATTACAGAGACTCTTGAACATGTTTTGCCTTGATATAACTGCTAAAGTGTGTGAAAGCGACGATTTACATAGTTTGATCATTCGCAGGCAAATAAAACTTACCTTGTGATTGACTGTGTCATCGAAAGGCTGTTGTTGCGGTTGACTATACATGCCCACTTCATCGTAGCGATAGGAACGCCAACCATCCTCATATTCGTCTTCGTAAGCGTCATCATGAAAGACTGCATCTTCAAGTGCATACATCTGCAAAGCTTTCACCGGTGGACGATAGCCAGGATAACCAGTACTGCATGCCTTGCCGCTACTACCGCCTATACTGGAACCGCTGCCACTGAAGTCCACACGATGGCGTACAGTCTCCTCCAGACGACGTTGGGTTGTCTCGGGATCTTCGAAGACGTCGTCGCTCATACTGCTAGCATCATCGGGTATATATGACATATTTAATTAGCCAGCTATTAAACCTCGTTTTATGTGTATAGGCGAGTCTTTGTAGTGAAAAAAGTATACAGCGAAGTGATAGTAGTGCAAGTATATTTGTTTGGCGGGGGAAGCCGGGATACGCATTACACGAATATTACTTATTTAGTTTGTTATTTTGGTTTTGAAAATTCGTATATTTATTTATTAATTTTTAACGACTTGTTTCCACGACTTTTGGTGGGAGACTATTTAATTTCTAACGGGATTTTACACTTTTAGTTTGAGCAACAGGTTTTCATAACAACAATACAAATAGCGTTTGGTGCAATTTTGAAAGCACTGTAGTAGCTTGTTAGTGCGAATAACCGCTATGAAGTTAAATTCGTATTTAATAAAGCTCTTAAAACTTCGGAGGCTCGAGCTTTGAATGTTTGATAACGCCAAAACCGATTTATACACAAATATAATACTAGTGCAGCGCAAACAACTGTTCCACCATCTATTCTAAACACATATGTACATATGTTTGCATGTATAAACGCACAGCTGTTCACTAACAGTATTGCATGCTGTAATGTTGATGTTAATGCCAATTGAGCAATGGGGGCTGTTTACTACCAGCTGTCACTGTTACTTAAATCACAATTGCTATTTGGTGTGCTTTCTGTCTCCTTTGCGATTTTTTTTCATTAGTATCCGTGTTGCCACCACTGCGCTACCGGTTTTATGCTTATTTCTCAATTTTATTTACCAAATTGTGTATCTCAAAATCGTTTACATATGTATGTAGTTTGGGTGTACGGAAATTTGCATGTGCTATTACCAATCAATATCTTATGACCATATGCTAAGCTATGACGCTCGATGGTCCCGGTTAGTTGATTGTCGGTATGCTTCGTTCTGGTACCTGATTAATTAATGGTCTGCAGTAGGATAACGAAAAAAAAAACGGCGGTGGTGAATTGCTTTTAACCGAATGTTGTTACCAGTTTTGTAAATATAAATATTTATTTTTTTTTTCAATTGAATATAAATATTTTGTACGAATTACTTTGACGAGTTTAAGATTTACTAACTTTTAATTATGTACTTACAAACTTTCTTTTGCTGACATTCTGTTACAATTTTCGCGACAATGATCGAGTAATATTAACGCAAAAGTGTCTGCTACTGATATTTTTTTGCATTCACATGTATTAAATCTTTTTTTTATATACTTAGGATTTATATATTTTGTATTTAAACATATTGGTTGCTATTGTTTATTGGCTTATTTTTAATGTACTCGTAAACTACACGTTAAATTCCCTAATTTTGTATTATAGCTTTTCGCTTAAGTTAATGTTTTTTATGCTTGTATGTATATAAATTCTTCTATTTTGTAAATTTTACTATAATTTTATATGACTTTTCAATATTTTTTCATGTAACTTTTATGCACAAATTAAATTTTTTTTTATATTCCTATTATTCCGTAGAATTGTACGAGTATTTTCACACTCATTTAGTTATTTTTTACCTCTTCAATTTTTTTGCAGATCATTCTAAACGACATCAATCTGAACTGGTGAATTTGGTGTTATAAGGAATTATTTAGTTTTGATTATTCAACAATTTTTTATTAAATGTGTGCAGTCTGTTTGTTTATTACCTATTAAAGTTTTTTTTTCACTCGCGTCGCGCGGGTAAAAATAACATAACTTTTTGTTTCTAGTAGGTATAATAAGTGTTATATTTTCCATTACATCCGGAACTTTGTTTTTTTGTATTAGGAGAAACGTTATTTTTCCGAAAATTCGTGCCAACTTTCTTACTTAAATTTTTAACTAAAGTTTATATATTTTTGCTGATATTTCGATTTTTTTTTTATTTGCGAATAAATTGGTGTTTCGTTTACTTCTAAAGCACTGTAATAACTACTAAACTAAGGGTAGCTATAACATGTCGGTGATTTGCATTTTGTTCTCAACTCTTACATACCAAAATTTTACATTTGAACATACATACGTTGTTTTATCTTAAATGCTATACATGATTTAGTTGTCGATGGACTTCCTTCTTGGCATAAGTCGGACATGAAGCCGTGTAATCACTGTTTGACCTCACAGACTCTCTTTAAAGCTTTGCTGGTATATATTTATTAGTTATTAACATTAAGTATTTTTTATTAGTGTACACTTGATTTCGCACTACAGGTTTATATGTTACTCATCCGCCCCGTTCTACTTTTTTTCTGTTCAATTGATATCAATCTCATTTCCACTTATTTGTATTCTCTTTTGTTATTATCACAGTTATAATGGGAGGAGAGGCGATTTTATGCATCCACTGTTTGTTTGATTGATCTTTCACAGTATACTAAATTTTTTTCTTCCAATACTCCGACTGCTACTTTTCCATTGTTGGCAGTAAATTTCGGCAACGNATTTGTTTGATTGATCTTTCAAAGTATACTACGTTTTTTTCTTTCAATACTCCGACTGCTACTTTTCCATTGTTGGCAGTAAATTTCGGCAACGGCGACTTCCAATCTCTGTGACGACACAGCAAAATTGCACCGCGTCCGCTGCATTGTTTGTGGCTCTAAGTGCAATGCCTACCATTAAGTTTGACTCACTTTCAATTCTTTTAGTGTTTTTTTTCTCCACCCGCGCAATATACTTATTTGTTGGTATGTGTGTATGTCGTTTGCAAGTTCACGTCCCACTTTCAAGTCAACCCATAACTTTAACTACACTAACGCAGTCATTGAGTGTATCAGGCTAATATATTTTTATTAGCTTATTCATTTTCGATTTTTCCGTTTGCATTTGTTTATATAAAAGTAGTTTTGGCTTTTCAACTAAACTTGTAACACACTTTATTTCGCCAAACTATATTTATTTGCGTAGTAATTTTCTTCTTTACATATTTTTTTCTTCCTTTCGTTTTTCGCTCAAAATTTTCTTTGCCGACGTCGCGTTGCTCAAATGTGTACTGGCATTTCAGTGGGAAAAATTTGGTCGTAAAGCCCTCTTACTTGCTATCAGTAGTGACGTTTATGTACAAACCAAAGAACATACGAGTATTTACGTGGAACAGAGAAACAATGACACCAACGCAGAGGACGACGGGATACGAGTAGTCGTCATTCGTTCAACCTATGTACTATCAGCGCACGATTTGTGTTTATCGCATTTACCAAAGTGTCAAACTAGAGCCGCTCTCAATACTATGATACTATATACAGCATACATTCTTCAAAAATGTAGTAACTCTAGATTTGCCGTTTTCCAGAAAACAGGAACAAAAATTTCTTGTACACATGTCTGTATGTAAATACAGATTTTTCTGCTTCAAATAGTTCTCCCAGTAGTAAATATCCTCAGAGAAGAGAATTATTTCATAAAAGAAAAAAATAATAATTTTTGAAGACGTACACAAATTGCATTAAGTTAAGAAGTTCCTGTTTCTACGATTAATACACCGCCTCGATTCGGCTCATGGAGCAGACTCTCAGTACCCGTTATCTGGTTCTTTTCATACCTTTATGAAATATTTGGTAACACTCTATTCTTACCCTGTGGGGAAAATCTCTAGTTCAGAACTGGTGCGCTTCTAGTACATTTAGACCCAGTATTGGTTCGCGATAAATCTCTTTTGAATGCAAACAACTGGCGGATTTAACATGGCGATGGCCACCGCTGCATCCCTCTTTCGATAGTTCCGAACTAGTACTAAATTCTATAGTTCCGAGCCAGTTCTAAAACGACAATTCAATTCAATTTGAAATTAAATTTGTTTGAAGGATTGTACAAAATGTCCGTTTTAATACCTTTCGTTGTAACTGAGTTCGCAGAGGTGCTTGCTTATATTGGTTAGATTTCAGAACATCCCCAGATGTTAAAATGTTAACACAAATGTTTGTTTTGTTTTACCAAGCTATGAAAAAGCACCTGCGAAGTGCAGTATGGAAGCGTATTCGAACGAAAAATCCGCCAAACACATATCTATGTAAGGTAAAAAAGCCCCCCACTGCACCCCTTTTCCGATAGTTCCGAACTAGTTCTAAATTCGACAGATAAAATCTAGTTCGTTCTGCATTCCTTTTTCTATAGTTTCGAACCAGTTCTAAATTCGTCACCTTAGATACACATTTCTAATGGAAAAAGTGAAATAAAATAGTTTCTTAAAAGTACCATATTTCGCTGATTTTGGACTGGTGGGGATCTAGTTACTATCGGACTGGTTCGCTTCTGGCGACAAAGAATTAGTACGGAACTAGAAATTGGATTCACTAGTCCCCGGTTTCCCTGCAGGGTAGTTTCATCCCAACGTAAGCACTAAAATTTGCTGGTATATACTTATAATTACATACATACAGATATACAAACATACATTTAATCGAGGTAACAGCGCTCTTACACGATATTGCATTTACATATGTAAATGCTATAAGTGGTGGTTGTTTTGGAACGAATTTCCGTTAAACGAAAAATGACACCGAAGATGACACAACGCCGGAACCGGTTTGTCTCCAAACCAAATTTGACAAGGGATCATGGACGTACGCAGAGCATAATGTAGGTGAGCTGAGATTTTATTTAATGTAAACTTTATTAGAAATGTTAAAATATAGCTATTAAAAATTTATAATAATTTACCTCATTAATTTTCGCATTTTTAACCGACTTCATAAAAAGCTAAGGTTATCAATTCATAGGAATAATTTTTTCACGTTTGTTACCACATAACTTTGGACCACATTAACCGATTTCGATAGTTCTTTTTCTGGTGCCATACTAATTTGGTTTAGATCGATCATTGGATCATGAAGAAATTAACGGTACTTCTAAATTTTTATATGATAATTGAAGTCGGTTGTGTTTTTTGCTTAAAAATTACTTGTTTGTGTAACAATTGAGTTGTACCGAGCGCTACAAAGGATTTTATATTATAAACCATAACGATTATAAGAAATAAAATTAAATATTGCTCTATAATTATTACTAAACAATAGAAAAGTTTTGTTTTCGTCTCGCGGTACGTTTATTTCAAGACGGAAATGATTTACGTCTTCTCCTAATAATTATATGGGACTTTTATTGAATAACACTTTTTAATTGAGATCGGAGATTTGACGCGTTAAATATTTAACGCCACGATTGTTCATGTCATCAAATCTGCATCGTTTGTTCGATTTTCAAAAATGTGGTGTCAAATTAAAGGGCTTTGCTTTTACGTAGTTTTAGCTTATTGAGAAGGGTTGCCAGATGCTAGCATTTTAAATTCCAATAATCGAACTCGGACATATTTGCGTTTAATTTCGTGAAATCGGCAGTACATAAATCGATTCTACTAAGAGAAAACGTTCGACGTAAATCACTGTCGTCTTGAAATAAACGTTACGAGAGACGAGAAAAATAAAAGTCGCTTATAATTATTATGAAAAGACGTAAATCATTTCCGTCTTAAAATAAACATCCCACGAGACGAAAACAAATAAAAGTCCCACATAAATAATTATGAGAAGACGTAAATAATTTTCATCTGAAAATAATCATCCCATGATACGAGAAAAGATATTTCTCGTAATTAATTATTATACAAATGCGAAACAATTTTCTCTTAAAACAAGTCGACGTTTTTGATTACAAATATTAGGATAATAATTATTTTGGGTCTCTGATTTATATTGCATAAAGTTTATTATGAACTTATTGAAGAGGTAAAATAAAAAAATTTAAGTTACCTTAATTGTATGCAAATTTTAAAATGAGACTTCGTCTTTACACCAAAATCGTAACTTTTTCATTATTTTTATCCGACATCAAAAAAAGGAGGTTGTCTATTCTTCGGAATATTTTTTTTATGTACATATGTTACCGCATAACCGATTTCGATAACTCTTTTTTAACGGAAAGGTGGTACCTCAGAGGTGGTCTCATCGTAATTTGGTTTAGATCCGATTATTGGATCATGAAGAAATTAACGGTAATCTTAAAATTTTACATGATAATTGAAGTCGGTTTGATTTTTTGCTAAAAAATTACTTGTTTATTTAAACAATAGTCTTCGCCTATCTTCTGCAAATCGATAATTTTTTTAGCGATGATTTCAAGTACAAACTAAGAGAAAATATTAAAAGATAATAATTATTTTACCTTTTTTAAGTAAATGACTGTTTATCAGACTAACAAAAGTAAGCTGAAAAGAACGTTCACAGGGATGTCAGTGGCAAAAATACATCGATGTTTTTCTTTGATTCGATGCATCGAAATGTACTTCGATAATTTTCGAAAAGCATCCATCGATGCATTGATTTGCATAGGATTTTTCAGGTAACGTTTCACAACAAATATGTTATTAGCAAAATTGTACAAAGCTTCCCCTTTAGCCCGTACCTGCGTACGCCCACGCAAGGGATGACGGAAATTCTTTTCAAAATACATCTTACTCCCACCCTGTCCGAAAAAACTATAAACCAAAGAGGTTACTGACAAACACCCTTTGGCAGGCAAATGCAAACTTCCATAAAAACATAGCTAAGTAAAAGCGTCAGCATTATCTAGCTGTAGAAAATTTAGCAATAAGGCAACACCAACTACGAAAACTACCTAAATACATTATAGTAAAAATAGTATTTAAATAAACAATCATTTATATGCAAGTGACCTGCTTCAGCTCATCTGCTCTTACGCCAGATTGCCAGGTCACATTTTTAAAAAATTTCAAATAATTTTATACCTTGAAACTGACGCCAACAAGTTTTTTCTTTTAATCTAGAAGACAATAAGTCTGGAGATTTTTAAGATAGTACTAGAACCATTATCAAATCAGTTAATTCTTCTTGGGTGAAAGGCTTTATAGACGCTATTCCTTCGAAATCGCTGTAACTACTCTGTTTATTAAATATTTCTTCTAATGATAGGTCACGGATAAAAAAAAATGTTGGAATACGCTTCCTCCGAATGCGCTAAGGGTCGCCTGGTCGATTCTAAGTCTGCCTCAAGTGTTCGTTTACAATGGCTGCATTTCTTTATTCATTCTGAACGTTTGGAATAAACTTTTTTGTTTACTTATTCTTTAGAACGTTCCTGAAGATATGTTAACGTATATTTTAAACGCATTCTGTTTATTCCGGCTGTGAAATGGGATTATCCGGAATGTATAAAGAAACGCAGCCAAAAAGTTTGGGGTATCCTTTGCCTGTCTCTATCCAAAATTTTGGATTCCTAGTAAAAAAAAATTTTCTTATAAAATATCTTAAAGTTTTTCGGAATCTTGTAAGTGTGCATTCAACACAAATGTAACGAAGTTTTTTCTGCAAGAAGCTTGTGGAACAAACCTCATATAAGCAATGTTATTAATTTTATGTTTTTGCATGAAAACTCGAAATTCGAT